GTTATCAATAAGGTGGAAAAAAAGGTCAGGAGCAGAGAATTTTCTGTATTATGGAGGATCATCTTGAAGGGTGAGATATCCCACTGGTGGGTGTAATCAATAAGGTGGAGAAAAGGTCAGGAGCAGAGTATTTTCTATGTCATGGAGAGTCATGTTGGATGCGTGATATCCTGGAGATGGGTGTAATCAGAAAGGTAGAGAGGTCAGGAGCAGAGTATTTTTGCTCTACGGAAGTATTACATTAAAGCAGAACTCCGGGAAAAAACAACAATTGTACCGAGCAGTGAGGCTGTGGCTGCACTGCGGGGGCTAACTACTCATCTGTGTCTAAGGGCGATAAGAGCAAAGATATACTAATTTAATCCACCGATCCTCCGAGCGCAAGACTGGTCCCTGCCACCCCTGCATGCTAGTGGCTTTGGGAGCTGACTGTTCATGATGTCAACACGCCCGTAGACCGGCTTCCGGGCGTAAGGGCGGCAGGAACAGTCCACCACTGGACATAGGGGAGCGCTGTTTTTTGGGAGGTTTGAAGGAAAAGGTATAGTAGTATAGCCTTTCGGGGGACCTCTGGAACAGCACCACTGCATGGGACAATAAAAAATTTACTTGGAGTTCTGCTTTAAGGGTAATGATCCTTTAATTAATGATCCTGTCCTGTCATTGGAGATCTTTTCTCTGAATCAGTCTCTTGTTGTTCATTCATTTTTAACTTTGTTTTTTCCAGGGACCTGGATGTTTTCATCCCCGGTCATAATATCTCTTCTTCTCTTCCAATAAATCATCTTTAAATGAAAGTCCACCACTGCGTGTTGAGCTCGTATACCAAATGACCATCTTGCCATTGACCATGAACTGATACTGAGGGTCTGACACAGCAGTCTTCCAGGACGTACACTTTGTAATTTTCCTGCTCATACCTGTATAAAGTAGAACCCAAGACACAATGTTCCTTCCAGCTTTGCATGGAGTGGGGAATGGTGAGAACTTCAGTCAGGTTCTCTCTTTCTGTGTCCTTTGGAGCCAGTTCCCCTTCATTCCTGTTCTGGAGGCAACGTAAGCAAAACTATTTTCAGTTTAGGCACAGACAGCAAACGCAATGGGGTTTATTTACTAAAGCTGGAGAGTGGTTTCTTTGCAAACGTTAGCCTGATTTTGCAATCGGCTTCCAGGTTTTATTGCCAAAGCTCAACTGAACAAGCTGAGGTTAGAAGCTGATTGATTTCTTTGCAGAAGTGAGCCTGATTTTACAGTATTGGGGTGCCCCTCCCAAGTAGTGATGGCCCCCTGTTTGGTTCTCGGTCGAACATTCAAACTTAATGAAAGTTCGATTGAGAACTTCAAACAGATGGGACAATTCACTAAGCCCGCCGAACAACCTTACTGTTCTTGTGTTTGCCGAATACACAAATGCCTGATGTCCAGGACACTTGAGTTCCTGAGACCCTCTGGTCAAACCATGTCTTTACGGAGCTGGCTTTGTACACAGGGGCACAGTCATGCTGGATAGAGATGGGCTTGATGTTCGAGTCGGTCAGTTTCAACTCGAACATCAAGCCCATCTCTATCCAGCATGACTGTGTCCCTGTGTACAAAGCCAGCTCCGTAAAGACATGGTTTGACCAGTATGGTGTGGAGGAACTCGAGGGTCCTGCACGTAGCCCTAACCTCAACCCTACTGAAAACCTATGGGATGAATTGGATTGTGAGCCAGGTCTTCTTCAGTACCTGACCTCAAAAATGGCCACGAATGACCACAAACACACTCTAAAATCTTGAGGAAAGCCTTCCCAGAACAGTAGAAGCCGTTACAGAGGGCACCTCCGTATTATTGGCCATGGTTTCCAAGCAGGATATCCAAAAAGCTCATATAGATATAATGGTCAGGTGGCCTCAAACTTGACAATATAGGGTCTATACAGTGTCTTGGGGTTATCTTGCTTTTGTTGGATGGTTACATGATTTCGTGGTCGTTGCCCCCCCCCCCCCCCCCCCCCCCCCAGTGAGTTTTGGGAGCTTTTGAATATTTCTTGATAGAACAATTTAGCAATATTCATTGTAAAAACATTAACACATTGGCTTGGTGGCTTTAGGGTTTGCCATGCACTTAGGAAGAAGGTCAGGGGAAGGGTCTATTTCATGTGCCGTCAAGCCAGCGAATAGAAAGAGGGCATTATACTGTAGTCTATAAAGGAACACATTTATGGTTCTATTTTGGCAGAATTAAATACAAATCGTATTAAACCATTTCTTAGACGTGGCAGCTACATTAGGTTTTGTTTTTTGTTAGGCTTTCTTTCTTTTGTTTTCATCTGTTGTTCCAGCCAGTAAGTCTGTTGTTTTTCAAAAGAACAAGCTCTCATATAGATGTATGCACAATATTTGACACTTGCGCTTAGAGAATCCCAGTTCCCCAGCAGCATTCTTACCACTTTTTTTTTTCTTCTTGCTGTTATAATAGTATCCTCTCATGATATACCGAATATTCTGAAACAAAGTAACAGCGCTCCTAAATAAAGGGCAGCAAATGAATGTGAAACCCTCCCGTGGATAAAGTGCAAACTCATTCATTATTAAAGCGCAATGCTCCAATAACTAAAGCGCAAACTCAATAATAAAGTGCAATGCTTCAATAACTAAAATAAAGGGCAAACTTCATAATCAATAAAGTGCAATGCTCCAATAAATAAAGTGCAAACTCAATCAATAAAGCACAATGCTCCAATAACTAAAGCGCAAACTCAATAATCAATAAAGTGCAATGCTCCAATAACTAAAAAAACTAAAGTGCAAACTTCATAATAAAGTGAAAACAATCAATAAAGTGCAATGCTCCAATAACTAAAATAAAGTGAAAACTTCATAATCAATAAAGTGCAATGCTCCAATAAATAAAGTGAAAACTCAATCAATAAAGTGCAATGCTCCAATAACTAAATAAATTGCAAACTCAATAATATATAAAGTACAATACTCCAACAACTAAAGTGCAAACTCAATAATCAATGTGCAACTGCTCCAATAACTAAATAAAGTGCAAACTCAATAATAAAGTGCAATGCTCCAATAAATAAAGTGCAAACTCAAGAATTATTAAAGTGCAATGCTCCAATAAATAAAGTGCAAATTCATGAATTATTAAAGTGCAACGCTTCAATAACTAAATAAAGTGCAAACTCAATAATAAAGTGCAATGTTCCAATAAAGTGCAAACTCATGAATTATTAACGTGCAATGCTCAATAACTAAATAAAGTGCAAACTCAATAATCAAAGTGCAATGCTCCAATAACTAAAGTGAAAACTCAATCTCTAAAGCGCAATGCTCTAAATAAACTAAAGTAAAACTCATGAATTATTAAAGTGCAATGCTCCAATACATAAAGTGCAAACTTATGAATTATTAAAGTGCAATGCTCCAATACATAAAGTGCAAACTTATGAATTATTAAAGTGCAATGCTCCAATAACTAAAATAATCTGCAAACTCCATAATCAAAGTGGAAACTTGTGAATTATTAAAGTACAATGCTCCAATAACTAAATAAAGTGGAAAATCAATAAAGTGCAATGCTCCAATAAATAAAGTGCAAACTCAATAATAAAGTGCAATGTTCCAATAAAGTGCAAACTCATGAATTATTAAAGTGCAATGCTCCAACAACTAAATAAAGTGCAAACTCATGAATTAATAACGTGCAGTGCTTCAATAACGAAATAAAGTGCAAACTCAATAATCAAAGTGCAATGCTCCAATAACTAAAGTGAAAACTCAATCTATAAAGCGCAATGCTCTAAATAAGTAAAGTACAAACTCATGAATTATTAAAGTGCAATGCTCCAATACATAAAGTGCAAACTTATGAATTATTAAAGTGCAATGCTCCAATAACTAAATAAAGTGCAAACTCATGAATTATTAAAGTACAATGCTCCAATAACTAAATAAAGTGAAAAATCAATAAAGTGCAATGCTCCAATAAATAAAGTGCAAACTCATGAATGATTAAAGTGCAATGCTCTGTATGTAACCTCCTATACTCTATTGCTAATGATTAAATATGCAGATTAAGTCGATGGTTTCCTCTTTCTTGTCTCTGTGTAATACATCATCTATAACGTGTCTATAAGTCCTGTTATAAACAAATACACAGTTGTGCTCAGACATTTGCACCCTCTGGCAGAATCATGAAATTTTGGCATTGATATTGAAACTAAGACTGACCATGCCAAAAAACTGTCATTTATTCAAGGATAGTGATGATATGACTCCATTTATTATCACATACGTAGTTGTTTGGCTCTTTTTTTTTTTAAATCCTAATGATAACGGAAATCCCCTGAATGGCCCGGATCAGAAGTCTCCCCCCCGGGAATGTTCGGCCTTGGTACAGACACACAAGGTGAAACACACAGGATAAAATGGCAGTTAAAGGTTAATTTCCCACATCTCTGGCTAAATTGCAATTAGTGTCAGTGTATAAATAGTCAATGAGTTTGTTAGCTCTCACGTGGATGCACCAAGCAGGCTAGATACTGAGCCATGGGGAGCAGAAAAGAACTGTCAAAAAACCTGCGTAACAAGGTAATGGAACTTTATAAAGATGGAAAAGGATATAAAAAGATATCCAAAGCCTTAAATATGCCAGTCAGTGCTGTTCACTTATAAAGAAGTGGAAAATCCAGAGATCTCTTGATACCAAGCCAAGGTCAGGTAGACCAAGAAGGATTGCAGCCACAACTGCCAGAAGAATTGTCTGGATTCAAAGAAAAACCCCCACAGGTAACGTCAGGAGAAATACAGGCTGCTCTGGAAATAGAGGTGTGGTTGTTTTGAAGGAGCAAAATACGGAAATACTGGAACAAAATGAGCTGCATGGTGGAGTTGCCAGAAAGAAGCTTTTACTGTACCAATGCCACAAAACAGCCCAATTACTATACACCTGACAACACCTTGACATGCCTAACCAGGCCTTTTTGTGGCATTGGTGCTGTATAGGCTTCTTTCTGACAACTCCACCATACAGCTTATTTTTGTTCAAGGTTTGCATCGTATTTCTCCTGAGGTTACCTGTGGGTTTTTCTTTTGTATCCTGAAAAATTCTTCTGGCAGCTATATAGAACCAGGTACTCAGCGGAGGGATGGTGGGAACCCCTCATAATGGGCACAGCAGGTGTACGGACCCAGGAATTCAGCACAGGGATGGTGGGAACCCCTCATAATGGGCACAGCAGGTGTACAGACCCGGGAACTTGGCACAGGGATGGTGGGAACCCCTCATAATGGGCACAGCAGGTGTTAGGGGGTTTAACTCTGCAGCATCCATTAGAGACTGATACAGCAGTTTTGGGTGAACTGACCCTTTCAGGGACTGGAGTTCTGAGTACAGGACTGTCTATATTATTGCAATATCAGAAGTTCCAGCAGTTTATCTCGTCTGGGTCTGAACTTGAAGATTTTTTCACATACTTGACTCTGGTTTCTGCTTTTTCTACTTCACTGTGAGAGTTGTGGCCCGCGGACAGGAAAACCTCAGGCGGTTTCTGACAGTTTCCTGTGTCTGTGTTATATATGAGAATAAAAAAAATTGCATTTAAATTGTGTTATTTGGGTCAAATCCCCGAATTGAACCCTCTCATAGGAATAGCATCATAAAATGTACAAGAATCATCCAATGGGATCTAAAGGATGGAACAAACCACATGAAAGGGCCTTCAGAAAACGAAGGTCACACACAGTCTATGCAATGTGAATCAAAACCCAAACAATAAAAATGTAATATATTGCGGCTTACCAGTCCTTCGATGTGGTGGCTGACTTAGTTTTCCTTTTTCAGCCTTCTTCTTTTATTTTCACCCGGCGATTCTCAGGAGAATACACTTCCATAGACACACATGATGAATAACTCTCCTGTACTCTACCATAGAGCCGGCCTATTTGGATTCTCACGTCTTCTTTCTCTGCAATCCGACAGAAGGTTCTAGGACTGTGCACTGCGCAGGACGGGACTTCTGAGTTGTTACATTTCTCCAGAATTTTGGAGCGTAATGTACACATTTGTCTCAGAGACGAGGTGAGAACAACACACAGTGCAATGAGCATGCACGGGCATAGACTGGGATTCAGTAAGAATACACTCTGGGTCAGGGGCGGACTGACAACTCATGGGGCCCCCGGGCAATAGGGGATCATGGGGACCCTGTGTCCTTGCCCAAACTCAAAAAAGCCTATGAAAAGGTACCAGGGGCATCTCATGGGGCCCCCTACTGACCCCGGGCCCTCGGGCAGTGCCCGAGTTTCCAAATGGTCAGTCCGCCCCTGCTCCGGGTCTAAATTGCCCCCACTTGGAGGATATACGCAGAAAACTTTTCTGACTCCTTTCAATATTGTGGTGTTAAAATATCATGGACTTTTGAATTCACTTGACAAACCTGTGCTATGATCTTCAAAATGATTACAAAAATATGATCCAGATCTCCGTTCTTAACTACATAAGGAGCTTAGTGAGCTGGGGAAGGAGAAACAGCAGCACACTGATCTTCACAGTAAATGGCTGTGCCAGTGGGGAGGGTGTCAGAACAAATCTGATCATTGGAGGAGAGCACAGCTAGAGAACTGGCCACGCTGTGCTTTCATGCTTATTGTGGTCAGTTTTTAATAAGAAAGCTGAGGAACTGGCAAGAACAGCAGGGATTCACACAAAGAAAACAAAACCAAGAGAACGGGATAGTTTTTTCATGCAATTACATGGTACAGCAGGCCCAGATCGGGAATATTAATATGTTGGTAAGCTGTCCTACTAACGGTTAGCTGACAGTTAGCTAACAAAACTAACAGAAGCAGGATTGTACTTCATTCCAAAACTGAATTTACTTCTGTGAATAATTCTATAAAACTGAAATAAAATCACATAAACTGAAATTACAATATAAAAGGAGTACAGCGAGCGCTCATATAATCAGCTGCTAGAGAACACTCAGAGGAATCACAAAAACCTTGTATCAGAATCAAAGAAAATATAGTGCAGCGCTGCCATCTAAGATAAATGAATAGTTCATATAATCTTCATATAGATATTTATACAGAAAACATGAAGAGAAACTTGAAGTGAAAGACTTCCTTATAATGTATTGGTGACTGGAACTGTACAGAAAAAATGCGCACTCACCAACCGCGCATTATAAATGCGCATGTATATGACCATCAATCCAGGTAGTCAGCAAAACACACGGTACATCCCTCAAAGGTAAGTCGTCAGCCTTGGGTGTAGTGATATGCAGCAGGACTCAGAGACCACTTAAAACCAGTGAATGGACAGCCTAGGTCAGTGGTTCTCAAGCAGTGGGTCGCGACCCCTTTGGGGGTCGAATGACCCTTTCACAGGGGTCCCCTAAGACCATCAGAAAACACATATTTCCGATGTGTAAAGAGCAGCTACTGTGTTGAAAGCAGCTACTGTGTTGAAAGCAGCTGCTGTGTTAAAAGCAGCTACTGTGTTGAAAGCAGCTACTGTGTTGAAAGCAGCTACTGTGTTGAAAGCAGCTACTGTGTTGAAAGCAGCTGCTGTGTTAAAAGCAGCTACTGTGTTGAAAGCAGCTACTGTGTTGAAAGCAGCTACTGTGTTGAAAGCAGCTACTGTGCTGAAAGCAGCTACTATGTTGAAAGCAGCAGTATTGGTGGTAAAACGACACTCATGAATTATAATTACTGGGTAAATAATTTTATGGTTGGGGGTCACCACAACATGAGGAACTGTATTAAAGGGTCACGGCATTAGGAAGGTTGAGAACCACTGATCTAGGTGAATGGGCTCCCTCTTCTGGATATGAGATAAACTGGAAACCAGCTGCTGTAGATCTGAAACCCTCAAAAAGAGGGTCAAAACAAAGAGGGAGTGCCAATAGTGTAGTAGGTTCAAACTAGTCTATTGGTCACATGCAGTAAAAAATCCATGGGTTCAAGTACAAATACAAAACTGCCAGCATTAGTGGGAATGAATATTGTACTGACCCAGCAAGGAAAATGGCCGCCGGACCTCCTCGTGGTCGCAGCGGTGTATGACGTCACACGTGCTGCCGGGTCCTCCTGAGGCCTTTCGTGCTACGGCACTTCATCAGAGGGGAGGCCAACAGCAGTGTGACTGGACATCTATCCTTATGAAGCGGTGTCCACGCATGCGCACACGGATCGACGCCATCTTCCCGAGGAGCGGGGGAAACTGCGCATGCGCGCTTAAACGGGCTAACATTTTGCCGTGGATCTTATAATGCGATCTGTGTGAATACACAGATAGATGTGGGATCATGCTGAAACATGATGACAAGGCACATGAGATCCGTGCCCATCCCCCGGGGAAAAATGTAATTAGTGACTCACAGCGATAATAGATTAAGACCTGCTATCTCCCTCCTCCTAATAAATATGATAGAGGCATTTAACCCTTAGTGGTAAAAGGGGATATATAATATATATATACAGTGGGGCAAAAAAGTATTTAGTCAGCCACAAATTGTGCAAGTTCTCCCACTTACAAAGATGAGAGAGGCCTGTAATTGGCATCATAGGGAGACCTCAACTATGAGAGACAAAATGAGAAAGCAAATCCAGACAATCACATTGGCTGATCTGGAAAGAATTTATTTGCAAATTACGGTGGAAAATAAGTATTTGGTCACCTACAAACAAGCAAGATTTCTGGCTCTCACAGACCTGTACCTTCTTCTTTAAGAGGCTCCTCTGTCCTGCACTCATTACCTGTATCAATGGCACCTGTTTGAACTTGTTATCAGTATAAAAGACACCTGTCCACAACCTCAAACAGTCACACTCCAAACTCCACTATGGTGAAGACCAAAGAGCTGTCGAAGGACACCAGAAACAAAGATGTAGACCTGCACCAGGCTGGGAAGACTGAATCTGCAATAGGCAAGCAGCTTGGTGTGAACAAATCAACTGTGGGAGCAATAATTAGAAAATGGAAGACATACAAGACCACTGATAATCTCCCTCGATCTGGGGCTCCACGCAAGATCTCACCCCGTGGGGTCAAAATGATCACAAGGACCACATGGGGGGACCTAGTGAATGACCTGCAGAGAGCTGGGACCAACGTAACAAAGGCTACCATCAGTAACACACTACGCCGCCAGGGACTCAGATCCTGCAGTGCCAGACGTGTCCCCCTGCTTAAGCCAGTACATGTCCGGGCCCATCTGAAGTTTGCTAGAGAGCATTTGGATGATCCAGAAGAGGATTGGGAGAATGTCATATGGTCAGATGAAACCAAAATAGAACTGTTTGGTAGAAACACAACTCGTCGTGTTTGGAGGAGAGAGAATGCTGAGTTGCATCCAAAGAACACCATACCTACTGTGAAGCATGGGGGTGGCAATATCATGCTTTGGGGCTGTTTCTCTGCAAAGGGACCAGGATGACTGATCCATGTACAGGACAGAATGAATGGGGCCATGTATCGTGAGATTTTGAGTGCAAACCTCCTTCCATCAGCAAGGGCATTGAAGATGAAACGTGGCTGGGTCTTCCAACATGACAATGATCCCAAACATACCGCCCGGGCAATGAAGGAGTGGCTTCGTAAGAAGCATTTCAAGGTCCTGGAGTGGCCTAGCCAGTCTCCAGATCTCAGAGATCTCAGCCCCATAGAAAACCTTTGGAGGGAGTTGAAAGTCCCTGTTGCCCAGCGACAGCCCCAAAACATCACTGCTCTAGAGGAGATCTGCATGGAGGATGGGCCAACATACCAGCAACAGTGTGTGCCAACCTTGTGAAGACTTACAGGAAACGTCTGACCTCTGTCATTGCCAACAAAGGATATATAACAAAGTATTGAGATGAACTTTTCATATTCACCAAATACTTATTTTCCACCATAATTTGCAAATAAATTCTTTCCAGATCAGCCAATGTGATTGTCTGGATTTGTTTTCTCATTTTGTCTCTCATAGTTGAGGTCTACCTATGATGCCAATTACAGGCCTCTCTCATCTTTTTAAGTGGGAGAACTTGCACAATTGGTGGCTGAATAAATACTTTTTTGCCCCACTGTAAAATTTATAAAAATTATATAAAAACTATATATTAAATCGTCCACGGCATAAAGGTACTCAGCATTAAATGAATACATGATATACAATCATCATTAATAAAAGAGTCAATAATCATCCACATAAATAGGGAATAATGCGTCCAATAAATATAATAAAATCATGCATAGCAAATTATGGATAAAAAAATATAATACATATTCGCATTAAAATGTAAAA